TTATGTACAAGACAGTATAAAGGCTAAAACTACTAGTAGTACAGTATAAGATAGGATAGTGCCCTATATTGAAGCAATTATTGAAACAATTCTATTAAAGCTAGCCAAAAGAAATAATTATTAAGTAGAGATCTGATGGAACTCACCCAGACCAACGGTCACTGGGAGATTTCTTTTGCTCAGCCTTGAGGAGTGTCCTTGGAGGGCATCCCCAGCCAAGGCAGGAATCTCCACACATCTACCCCAAGAAGGGCTGTGTTGGAAGAACCTGCCTGGATGAAAGGGGACTGGACTTCTCTAGTATAAAGTGACTGACTGCTCCTCACAAATGGACAGGCCAGTTCCCAGCTTCTCTGTCCCACCCACCTTCCAAAAGCAGGCTGTGTGTTTGCAGTTGGGTGAACCAGGCTGGTTTGAGCATCATCCAACACCAAACCCATCCCCATGGTGGCACCAGTAACTGGCAGATCTCACAGACAGCTTGCAGGAGAGCTGGCACTGTTGGCATTGTCTGATGGCATTTTAGGCCTTATCAGGGCAGGCCCTCCTGCCACCCAGGACAGAATTCCGGGACAGGGGCACAGGTAGGTGTGGGGAATCCCGGCAGGGCCGGGACCCCTGGTATAGAACGAAAAACTGACTGAGAATAAAGGCCCTAGTCCTGACAGCAGGCACCCTGAGAAAAGGAGAAAAACATCCAGAGAACAAGGCCACTATTCCTGTGAGAACAAGGATACTGTCTCATGGGAACGAGGACTTGTTTTGAACAGAGTGACTGAGAAAAATATAAACATCAGAGGAAAACAGGGACAGGTGCACAGAAATGTTGTGAGAAAGTAGAACTGAGAAAGTGCAACTAAAATCCACCTATTGGCTGTAAGAATTGTAGTTTGTGTGTTGAAATGGACCTATCTGTGTGGTAGACGTGTGCCTGAAGAGCTGTATTTAAGAGGCTGTAAACTGCAGCTCGTGGTTGCTGCTGCTGCTTCGTATCCGTCCCAACCACGACAGGTAGGTCCCAGCCTCACTTCTGAATACGTTTCTTTTTCTTTTCTTTGTGCCTTTCCACTGTGCTGCTGATTCAGCCTAAACTCAGACTCTGAAAGCAGTTGGGGGCTCATCAGTTGGTTGTGGTAGCAAGTAAAGACACTGAGGAGGGATCCTGCGGAAGGTTTGGGAGCATCTCTGGGCACAGGGGTGCCAAAAGGGCTCGGAAGCGGCAGAGCTGGTCCCCAGGGGTGCTCCGCTCTCCGGCTCCTCGTCTCCCTGCACGAGACACTCATTTCTCGGCCGAGGAGGATGAGGAAGGGAAGGAAAGCAGCAGGTGGATGCAAAGGGCTGAGCGAGCAGGCGGGTGAGGAGAAAGGTTCCTTTGGAAGAGCGAGACAATTAGGGCAAATTTGGGATTAAAAGCGGAGGGGCAAAAAGCCGCGAGCGGTAATTTGGGACTGCAAGGTCTGCCGTCAGCGGGAGCGGGAGCGGGCGAGGATGCGGGAAAGGCGGGGAGCGGGACGGGAACAGGCTCGGGGCTGCCGCGGAGGATCCCGCAGGTGCGGGAGGAGCAGCACCTGGGCTGCGGGATCACGAACGGGGCAGGGGGCGGGCACCGAGCGCTGCCCCGGGGCCCGGCGGGGCTCCGGCGGGGCATCGAAGGGGCATCGAAGGGGCAGCGAAGGGACAGCGAAGGGACAGCGAAGGGGCAGCGAAGGGGCAGTGAAGGGACAGCGAAGGGGCAGAGAAGGGGCAGCGAAGGGGCAGCGAAGGGAGCTCCGCGGGGCTGCGGGAGCTGCGGGAACACCGGGAGCACCGCGGGGCTGCGGGAGCCGCCCCGGGCAGGGCAGGGCAGGGCAGGGCAGGGCATGTCCCCCCCGCCCGCACAGGTGAGCGCGGCTCGGCACCGGGAGCAGGCAGGGGGGGTTAGAAAGGGGAAAGAAAATAGGAATAACTAAGGAAAGTAGGAAAGGCTGCGGTTCGGGGGAAGGAGAGCGCGGCCGCGCTGCGGGAGCCGGCGGGGATGCGGGGCCGGGCGGACGCGGTGCCTGCCCCGCCGGGCTCCCCGCAGTGCCCCCGCGGCTCCTGGCCGGGCGGAGCTCTGTGCGGGGCTGGGCGCGGGGTCCGCAGAGTCGGCCCGGGCGGGGGTCGGGGCGTTGCCCCCGGGCACGGGGAGCGGGAGCGGCGGGACCGGGAGCATCCTTCGCTCCCTCCATCCCTCCCTCCCTGCACGCGCAGGGATGCTCCCGCCAGGCTGGCACAGACGCGAGCACAACTTTTTGCTGGCTAACGCGGCTGGAGCTGAAGCTCCTTTCGCCTTCCCCAGGCTGATGCTGCTCCCGTGTCCTGAGCAACAAACTGCAGCGGGTTGTTTTATTGATCCCAGACAGGAATGACTTGCTCTCTAAACTACAACTTAAAGGATGCTGCTTGCATAACAGGTGGGAATAGCTGGGATCTTACATACTAATTATCCGTCACCTTTTAGGCTCAGCAAAAGAGGGTTTGTGGGTTTTTTGCAAGGAGGGTTCGATATTCTGGTGCCACGTGATTTATTTCCCTTGGGTTAAGGAGTTGGCTTTGTCTGACAGTTCTGTGTAGTTAACTGAATTTAAAACACTAGGTAAAGGTAAAGACAAGGCAGAGTGAAGGAAGGCTATTAACCGTCAGAGAACTCAATTGCCTTTTTCTTTGCTCTCGTGGTCTTTGTGAGTTCTATTTGCTGGGCCATGCTGGAGATGGCTGATCCCCATCAGGGGCAGGGGTGGGCACAGCCCTGGTACTGTGCAGGCCCTGCCAGGGAAGCTGCTACTCCTTCGAAATCCTCTTCTGGGTTTGAAAGTCCCTAACTCCTGCCAGGTCTCTTTTGAGGTGTGTTAGATTAGAGCAAGTGTGGGGTTTCTTCCCCCTGTGGCCTGCAGTGCCCCCCTCCCCCCCGTGCCAGCAGTTGGCAGAGTCCCTTTGCTGCTGCTGCTGCCCTGGTGTTGAGCCCCGCGGTTCCCCAGAGGACGAGCCTCCCTTTGCAGAGGATTTGGCGCGGGGGGAGGCGGAGCGGCGGCGAAGAGCGGCGAGGAGCGGCTGAAGGAGATGGAGGCCGAGATGGCGCTGTGAGGAGCGGGGGAAGGGGCGGGGCTTTGTGGCCATGGCAACGGGGGCGGGGCCGGGGCTGCAGGGAGGGGAGGAGTGCCATGGGAACGGGGGGGCTTGGGGTGGCCATGGCAACGGGGGCGGAGCTTGGGCAGTGGGTGGAGCCTGAGTGTGGCCATGGTAACAGAGGCGGGGTCGCTCTGGTGGGTGGGGCTTAGAGGCAGGAGGAGCTTTGGGGTGTTAATGATTGTGGGCGGGGCTTGGAGGTTAATGGCGGTAGTGGGTGGGACTTGGGGCAGTGGGCGGGGTTTAAGGGTGTCCATGGCAATGGGGTGGGGTTTGGGGCAGTGGGAGGAGTTTGAGTTCCTATGGCAACAGCGGTGGGGTCTAAGGGGTTGGGGTGGGCGGTGCTTGGTTTCCCCGTGGCCATGTGGGCGGGGCCAGGGGCTTGGTGATGGGGGTGTTATTGGGAGGGCTCTGGGTGTTACTGGGAGCACTGGGAGGGTGCTGGGGGGTCACTGGGGTGTCACTGGGAGCACTGGGAGGGTGCTGGGGGGTCACTGGGGTGTTACTGGGAGCACTGGGAGGGTGCTGGGGGGTCACTGGGGTGTTACTGGGAGCACTGGGAGGGTCACTGGTGTCACTGGGGGGGTGTCACCGGTGCCCCTCCCCCCCCAGGTTCGAGCAGGAGGTTTTGGGGGCTCCAGGCCCCGCCCCTGGGGACCCGCTGGCCCCGCCCCCCATCCTGCAGCCAATCATCGCCACCAACACCTACCAACAGGTGACCTTTGACCCCCTGAAAATGACCCCTGACCCCCCCAATGTCCCCCAATGTCCCCAATGTGTCCCCAATGTCCCCAATGTCCCCCCAATGTCCCTCCAATGTCCCCCAATATCCCCAATGTCCCTCCAATGTCCCCCAATGTCCCCCAAGGTCCCTCCAATGTCCCCAATGTCCCCAATGTGTCCCCAATGTCCCTCCAATGTCCCCCCAATGTCCCCAATGTCCCCAATGTCCCTCCAATGTCCTCCAATGTCCCCAATGTGTCCCCAATGTGTCCCCAATGTCCCCAATGTCCCCCAATGTCCCCAATGTCCCCACAATGTCCCCACAATGTCCCCCAATGTCCCCCAATGTCCCCCAATGTCCCCCCAATGTCCCCAATGTCCCCCAATGTCTCCCCAATGTCCCCAATGTCCCCCCAATGTCCCTAATGTCCCCAATGTCCCCCCAATGTCCCCAATGTCCCCAATGTTCCCCCAATATCCCCCCAATGTCCCCAGTGTCCCCAGTGTCCCCCAATGTCCCCCCAGTTGGAAATGTTTGCCATCATCCAAACACATGTACAACTCACAGCTGTCCCTCCTCACGTCCCTCGCAGGTCAGCAGCGACAGCCTTGGAGGAGCCTCAGGATTGCTCCCTGCAGTGATCCCTGCTCCAGCCTTGGAATACAGAGCAAAAACCCAGGGAATGCTCCGTGCCTGCAGCTCTCCCGCTCTGGGCTGTGCCACCTCCACACAGCTTCTCCTGGGAAGTTCTCTGCAGCCCAGCACAGGAGGATCCAGCTCTGCTCGCGGCCCTCTGCTCCTGGAGTCGTCGAGGAGCAGCTGCAACAATTCCCCGAGTCCCATTCCCGCCTTTCGGGACGTTTCCTTGGAGCTCCCTTTGTTCTGTGACATGTTCCAAACCTCCTCAGATCCCCCCGAAAACTCCCCCAGGACCCCCCAAACCCTCCTGTGACCCCCCAAAATCCAGCAGAGACCCCCAACCCCCCCCAAATCCCTCATACCCTCCAACTTCCCCCCAAATCCCTCGTTCCCCCAAATCCCTCATGTTCCCCCAAATTCCCCCAAATCCCTCATGTTCCCCCAAACCCCCCCCAAATCCCTCATGTCCCCCCAAATCCCTCATGTCCCCCCAAATCCCCCCAAATCCCACTCCCACCTTGCTGGCGAAGCACAGGGAATTGATGGATTCCCCAAAATTCTCCTCCAGGGAGAAAATGGTTACTAACATGTCTCCAATTTCCCCTCTCCCCCTGGGGAGGGGAAATTTGGGATTCAGGGAGGAATTTGGGGATTTAGGGGAGAATTTTTGGATTCAGGGAGGATTTTGAGGGAAATTTGGGGGTTTAGGGCTGTCTCATCATCGGACATCCTTGGATACTGGTATCGCTTTGTTCGGGTCTTTTCCATCTGGTGTCTGGTCTCCTGTAAAACACAACTTAGGGCACAGAATTAGTTTTTCCCCAGGGCTAGATTTCCTTGAGGGACACATTGGATCTCTCCATCCTTCCTCATAACCCACCAGGTATTTCTGGGCCCTTGAGCAAAACCAATCCCACGACTGGGTTTGTCTTGGCCTGAGGGAGGAGTGATCCAAAGGGCCTTACCTAACATACCTTTGAGATGGATGGCTGGAACTCTGTCTCCATCTCCAGTGTGGAGGGATTCTGCTTGGGCAGGACCAGCTCGGTTGACAGAGCCTCTAGTGTTGACGAGCCAGGTGGCCTTGGCTAAGTTCTTATCCCAATTTTTGTAAGTTCCCTCACCTAGTGCCTTTAGGGTTGTCTTCAACAGTCCATTACACCTTTCTACTTTTCCTGCAGCAGGTGCCAGATATGGAATGTGATAGACCCATTCAATCCCATGCTCCTGTGCCCAAGGGGCTACTGGGCTGTTCTTGAAATGAGTCCCGTTGTCTGACTCAATCCGGCGCTCACTGAGCTCCCTGTGGAGCTGCTCCCGGGACTCCTTGAGCTCCCTCTGGAGCTGCTCCCGGGACTCCTTGAGCTGCCTCTGGAGCTGCTCCCGGGACTCCTTGAGCTCCCTCTGGAGCTGCTCCCGGGACTCCTGGAGCAAAACTCAAGAACTAACAGCAAAGAACAGGGATGGTTTGGTTTGGTGCTGAATGCCATGGGTGTAAACGGCAGGTCTGAGATAAAGAAGTTTTTTCCCAGTTTAGCCCCCTCAGCCCCTGTCCTATTGTGACAGGCCCTACTGAACCCAAAATGGAGAGAAATCACCCCAAAATGTGGAGAAAACATCCCAAAATAGGGATTAAAACCCCCAGAATGTGGCAAAATCAGCCCCAAATGGGGAGAAATCGTCCCAAAACACCCCAAAATGGAGAGAAATCAGCCCAAAATAGGGACAAATCACCCCAAAAGTCTCCAATTTCCCCCCCAGAATTCCCAAACTTCCTGAAATCCCAGGAATTCGGCGTTTTCCCACCTCCTCCTCCCCGGTGACTGGCACCCAGGTGAGGTTGGGCACGTGGAGCTCGTTACTGTCGGGGCTGATCCGTCGGATTTCGAGGTCTGCTCTGCGCTCCCCTCTCCACAGCAGCAGATCCCGCAGGGATTCGTTGTAGATCTCCAGGAAACTTGCTGAAAACTGGTACTAAAACAGCCTCAGTCAACCCGAAAGCCTCGGAATTCGGCCCCTCCAGCCCAAAATCCCCCCTACAATTCCCAAAATCTCTGGAATTTGGGGCGATTTGGGGAAATATTGGAGAAGTTGGAGGGAACTGGGGAATTTTTGGAAGGGTTTTGGGGGAAATTCTGTGGGATCTTGAGGGGTTTGGGGTTGACTTGCGTGGACTTGAGGTCAATTTTTGTGGATTTTCAGAAGGTTTTGAGGGATTCTTGATGGAATTTGCGGGGGTTTGGGTGGATTTCAGGGGAATTTTGGTGGTTCCCTCACCCCACTCGGAGGCAGCTTTCCCACAGCTCCGGCTGGAGGGGGATTTTCAGTGGATCTTTGACAGATTTGGAGTGAGTTTGGAAGGATTTTTGCTCCATTTCAAAGGATTTCAGCTCAGTTCTGCAGGATTTCCTGGGATTTGAGTGGATTTCAGGGGGATTTTGAGGGACTTGGATGGATTTTGTTGGCGTTTTTTACGGGATTTGGGCGGATTTTGCTGGATTTGGGGCAGTTTCGGGGGAGGTTTCGGTGCTTTGCTCACCGTACTCTGGAGCTCAGGGTGCTCTCTCTCCTCTCCCGCTCCCTGAGCTCCTGATGTAGAGTCTCTGTGGACTCCTTGAGCTGCTCCCTGGACTCCTGAAGTCGCTGGTTCTTCTGCTCTAAGCTACGTTTTTCTCTCTGGACCTTCCGGAGTCGCTTCTGGGCCTGGCGCAGCTTTTCCCGGAGCTCCCACATCTGCACCAAGAAGTCCCAGGGCAAGGGTTTGGGGGGGCACAGGGGGCTCCTGGGGGGACACCTGGGGTTGGGGACATCAGGAACGGGGTTTGGGGCCATTGGGGAAGGGTTTGGGGGCATCAGAGATGGGTTTGGGGGCATCAGAGAGTGGTTTGGGGACACCGTGGGGGTCTCAGGCCTCACCCGCTCCTGGTGCAGCTGCAACCGATGTCTTCTGCGGGGTACCTGGGGGACAGGGGACATTTGGGGGAATTTGGGGACATTTGGGGGGTTTTTCAGGTCCTACCTGCAGCTGCAGGACTGTGTGTATTCTGGGGGGTACCGGGGGGAGAGGGGACATTTTGGGGAGGCTGAACTCCCTCTGGAGCTGCTCCCGGGACTCTCTGAGCTCCCTCTGGAGCTGCTCCCGGGACTCTTTGAGCTCCCTCTGGAGCTGCTCCCGGGACTCTCTGAGCTCCCTCTGGAGCTGCTCCCGGGACATTTTTGAGGGGGGAAAAAAGTGATTTTTGAGGGAAAAAATGACATTTTTGAAGGCAAAAAAGGGATTTTTGAGGGGAAAAAGGGCATTTTTGGGTGCAGCCCTTCTCACCTCGTCGGGCTGGGTGACAATGAGTGTTTTGGCATTCTGAGGGCAGAAGTGCAGGTGCTGCAGCCCCCGCTGCCGCTCCGACTCCTCCGGCAGCACGGACCGCACGCGGCAGAACACGGGGATGTTATAAGTAAAATCAGCACTAGGCTCAAATATCGTAGTAAAAAGTTTTATTATAGATTTATATAAAAATCAAATAAGCAAATATACAGCGCTGGGTGACTTGATGAGCTTTCCTTGCTCATCCAAGGCACACTTCAATAATTTCCAATCTGCCTTTTATAGGTTTGTAGCTGCTTGTCTCTTTTAAAATCCCCTCCTTTTGTTCCGATTCCTCTGCTTTACGTCATCAGGTCTGTCTCTGCAGGCTCTGTTCTGTTGCCAAGAGGCTTCACGCCTGCGTTATCTTGTTGCTAGGGGACAAGCTCGGCTCTGTTCACTTCATCCTTCTGACGTATCAGCTTTTTCTGCACATGTGCCATCTTGCCGCTGGGAAATAGTTCTGTTCTCTTTTTCGGTTCTTTTTCTTATTACATAACATAACAAAATATCACTAATTATTGTAACTTAACATTATGGTTTGTGTGATATGTAAATATTTGTGATTCGTGAAACAAATGGGTGACTACATTAAAACAAAACAAGTGGATTACAAAAATTCCACTACACTCTCTCAAGGAAACAAAACAGACTCTCACAAGGTCAAAAGGTCTAAAACTTCCTTACTATCTTAAGAATGAAATATAGTACAACTTTAAGTCTTTAGGCACCTACTCGCCCAAGAATACATGAATTATGACTGGCTGTAGAGATAGCTCTTTTAGCCTTAGCTGTAAATATAGTAGAACTTTAAATCTTTAGGCGCCTGTTCGTCTGAGAATACATGAACTATGACTGGTTGTAGAGATAACTCTCAGCTTTAACTGTGAGAAAACTTACACATTAAACATTTAGCAAAAACCCACAGAATATACATGTATATGATACAATCAATATGCATGAGGTAGTCAAGACAAACACTAAATGAAACTATTACTTGAAACTTATAGAAACTTGAGACTTCGTTTACCGCAGTTTGTAATTACAGTGTTGCGAATATAATTTGATAAGCAAATTATCTCTCCTTTGGCTTTTATTGGCTATCACAGGGATGTTGTCCTGGAAAACGGGGAAAAAAACGGGATTTAGGGATTTTGGGAGAGTTTACGGGGTGTTCCCCTCATAAAATGCCCCCCTCTGCCCCGGACCCACTTTGGGCTCCTGGGTGTCATTGTGGAGGCGGCGTCGCTCCATCTCCAGCTGATGGATCTGTTCTTCCTGCTGATCCAGGAGGGATTTTTGCCATCTTTGCACCTCCTGGAGAGCAACCATCTGGTCCCGCTGCAGGCTGACATGGTCCTCGACCCGCCTCCGGTGAGCCTGGGGAGGAACGGGGGGGAAATGGCACTAAAAGGGAGCTCCCACTGGAGCTGCTCCCGGGACTCCTTGAGCTCCCACTGGAGCTGCTCCCGGGACTCCTTGAGCTGCCTCTGGAGCTGCTCCCGGGACTCCATGAGCTCCCTGTGGAGTTGCTCCCGGGACTCCTTGAGCTCCCTCTGGAGCTGCTCTTGGGACTCCTGGAGCAAAACTCCAGAACTAACAGCAAAGAACAGGGATGGTTTGGTTTAGTGCTGAATGCCATGGGTGTACACGGCAGGTCTGAGATGAAGAAGTTTTTTTCCAGTTTAGCCGGGTTGGACGGGGTTGGAGCCAGCTGGTGTGGTGGAAGGTGTCCCTGCCCAGGTGTTCTGATCCCATTAGGAAGAGATGCCTCAGCCCGAATTAAGGTGTAAATGGGACCCTTTGCTGACAACAGGTGGAGCAAAATGGCGGCCACCGCGCCGCCGCACGGGCGCAGCCAATCAGCAAGCGGGATTCTCCTTAAGGGGGAACAAAGCGCGGCCATTTTGGGCAAGACACGTGACAGCGGCAGCCAATCAGCGCTGAGCACACGCAAATCTTTATTAATTCTTTTGTTTTTAAAAACAAGATAAGAGCGGAGCGAAGGGCAGAGCGAAGGGTGGGGCTTGATCTCACTTTCTGTTGGGCTTGGGGGTGCCGATCACACGGTCTTTCACCTGGGGGGGGATGGGGGCGGGTGAGACCCCCAAAACCAGCCTCAAGACCCCCCAAATCCCCCGTGACCCCCCAAAACCCCTCCAGTGACCCCCAAGCCCCCTCAAATGCTCCCGTGACCCCCCAAATTCCCTCTGCGACCTCCCCAAACCCCCCTGAATCCCACCCAAAACTCCCCCCAGACCCCCCCAAGCCCCTCTGTGACCTCCTCAAACCTCTCCCCAGACCCCCCAAGCCCCCTCTGTCACCCCCCAAATTCCCTCTGGGACCCCCCAAACCCCTTCAAATGCCCCCGAGGATCCCCCAAAACTCCCCCAGTGACACCCAAACCCCCTCAAATCCCCCCCAACTGCACCCCGGACCCTCCAAACCCCCCCAACTCCAACTTAAATTCCATCCCAAATCCCCCCAAAACTCCCCCAAACCCCTTCAAATGTTTTTGCAGGGGGAAAAAGGGATTTTTGAGGGGAAAACCCAACATTTTTGAGGGAGAAAAAACAAAATTTTTAGGGGAAAAAGGGCCATTTTTGAGAGGGGATAAAAGGGATTTTTGAGGGAAAAATGACTTTTTTGAAGGCAAAGAAGGGATTTTTGAGGGGAAAAAGGGCATTTTTGGGTGCAGCCCTTCTCACCTCGTCGGGCTGGGTGACAATGAGTGTTGTGGAGTTCCGTGGGGAGAAGTGCAGGTGGTGCAGCCCCCGCTGCCGCTCCGACTCCTCCGGCAGCACGGACCCCACGCGGCAGAACACGGGGATGTTGTCCTGGAAAACGGGGAAAAAAATGGGATTTAGGGATTTTGGGAAAGTTTAGGGGGTGTTCCCCTCATAAAATGCCCCCCTCTGCCCCGGACCCACTTTGGGCTCCTGGGTGTCATTGTGGAGGTGGCGTCACTCCATCTCCAGATGGTGGATCTGTTCATCCTGCTGATCCCGGAGGGATTTTTGCCATCTTTGCACCTCCTGGAGAGCAACCATCTGGTCCCACTGCAGGCGGAGATGGTCCTCGACCCGCCTCCAGTGAGCCTGGGGAGGAACGGGGGGGAAATGGCACTAAAAGGGAGCTCCCACTGGAGCTGCTCCCGGGACTCCTTGAGCTGCCTCTGGAGCTGCTCCCGGGACTCCTTGAGCTCCCAATTCTCACACTCCAGGCCCTGTTTCTCTGTTTGCACCTTCCGGAGCCACTCTCGGGCCTGGCGCAGCTTTTCCCAGAGCTCCTGTGATTGCACCCACAGGTCCCAGGATGAGCGTTTGGGGGGGCACAGGGGGCTCCTGGGGGGACACCTGGGGTTGGGGACATCAGGAACGGGGTTTGGGGACAGTGAGGAGGGGTTTGGGGACATCAGGGAGGAACTGGCTCCGGATTATCCCAATTTTTTTTTCCCCTCCCCATAAGCTTTTGGGAATTCCAGGCCCCCCACAAACCTCTGCGTTTTCCAGGTTTCCAACAGTGCTCGCTCCCGAGCTCTGGTCTCATCCTGTTCCTGGCACCACTCCCTCTCCTCCTGCAGACACCGCTCCAGCTCTGACTCCAGGGAGCTGCTGGAAAGTCCCAGAATTGAGTAATTGAGTCCATTTCTGGAATTCCCTTTTCTTCCAGTTACAAGGCCGCGGGTAGTTGTTCTTTGGTATGTTACTCTCCCATTCTGATGTCTCTTCTTCACCCAGCATCACTGTTTCCACCGTTGGTTTGGGTGCCCAGATAGATATTCGGTATTTTATCTTTATCTCCTCCAGCTGATATCCACAGCTTCTCATATATCTGCGTGATGTTTTCCTCCAGCAAAACCGCCCTTAAGGTGTCATCAGAACATTGTGCCAGCCTATGCAACCTTCTGGCTTGTACACTCGGGATCAAGGCTTGTAATTTCGTAATTCCTAACCCACCATCCTTTGTGCTGGAATATAGAATGGCATCACAAGTGCTGGCTGGTAGATGTAACCATTTCTTAACCGTCGCCCTAATCTTTAAATCTAGTACTTTCAAAAATCCAGCTTTTATCTCTGTATGATCTGCTAAGTATATTATTCGAGGGATCACATATGTTCTCAACATATCCACTTTTTGTAATGGTTTGAGTGGTGCTTCACTAATGCGGCATAACCATGTTTCTATTTTTGATGACAAATCTGGTTTAGCTATTTGTACCCAAGGATCGATTTGAACGCCAAGATATTTCTCAGAACTACCCGGATTGACCATATTGAGGGGTGTACCACCTATAGTCCACGGAGGACAATCATTAATTGTATATGCCTCTCTAGCAGGCTTTATGAGAAAACCATGACATTTTTCCCCTTGCGTCTTGAGACCGGTTAAATCGCAAAATGTCTCAAGAATCTCGATGTTCTTTTTCATGCCTTCCCAGGATCCACTAAGTAAGACCAAATCATCAGCAAAAGCCATTGCAGTAATCGATTTATTTCTGAATTGGAACCCTTCTCCATACTGTTCTAATTCACACAATAAAGGATCCATAGCCAGATTAAATAGCAATGGAGACATAGGGTCCCCTTGTTTAACACCCACTTTAATTTGAATTGGATCTGATTGTTTATTATTAATGCCAATTCGGGTGTAGATATTTTCATACATGTTTGCAATCAAATTAATTATATGGACATCTACCCCTTTTTGCTTTAGGCCTGTGATAATGTGTTGGTGACTTATTGTATCGAAAGCTTTCGCGATATCAACAAATACCACTCCCAGTTCATTGTGTTCTCCTTTTGCATTCTTCATAAGAAGTTGTAATAATTTTAAATTTTCAGAGCATCCCGGCGATTTTATGAAACCCCTTTGTCTAGGGTTTATGGGGCATGCCTTTGTTAGCCTAGCCGTCAGTATCCTTGACAATAACCTTAAGATTACAGACCCGATCGTAATGGGTCTCCCATTGTTGATGTCATTGAGACGGTCTGGCTTAGTTGATTCCGGCAATAATACAGTTCGGCATTCCCTTATCATGTCCGGTATTCTTCCAGATGTTAACCATAAATTAAAAATTTCTGTTATTTGTGTATATTTGGGATCCATTTTAGTTAATTCTCTTATTGTGGTCCCATCCGGCCCAGGAGCTGTATTTTTATTTATCTCATTAATGTTCTTAATAATTTCTTTTTCAGTAATCATGGCTTTAAAAGCGGTGTTATCAGCCATACCTAGAGATCGATAGTTTCCAAGATTTTGAAACCCCCCAGTTGTTTCCCATCTGGTTTTAAACACTGGTCCCCTCATAAAATGCCCCCCTCTGCCCCGGGCCCACTTTGGGCTCCTGGATGTCATTGTGGAGGCGGCGTCGCTCCGTCAGCAGTTGGTTAATGGGTTTGTCCTGCTGATCCAGGAGGGACTTTTGCCATCTTTGCACCTCCTGGAGCACAGCCACTTGGTTCCGCTGCACATGGAGCTGCTCCTCGACCCGCCTCCGGTGAGCCTCTGTGTTCTCGGAGATGTTTGAGAGCTCTTCCTCACGAGCTCTGGTCTCATTCTGTCGCTGCTCCTCCTCCCGCAGGCGCTGCTCCAGCTCTGACTCCAGGGAGCTGCGGGAAAGTCCCAGAATTTCTCCCTGAATCCCCCCCAAATTCCCATCAAACCTCTTCCCAAAGCCCCCCCCAAAAGTCCCGAGCCCCCCGGAATTCCCAACTCCCCCTTAGAATTCTGAAATTCTTCCCAAATCCTCCCTCTGATCCCCTAAATGCCCTGAATTTTCCTGAATTTCCCCCTGAATTTTCCTGAATTTCCCCCTGATTCCCCACCAAATCCCCACCAAATCCCTTCCCAAACCCCCCTCAGAATTCCCAAATCCTCCCTCTGACTCCCCAAATGCCTGGAATTTCCCCCTGAATCCCCCCAGATTCCCTGAATTTCCCCCCAAATACCCTGGGTGTCTGAATTTCCACCCAAATGCCCCCAAATCCCCTGACTTTCCCCCCAGATTTCCCCCTGAATCCCCCAAATTCCCAAATTGGAATTCCCAAACCTCGAGGGGCTTGGGGGATTTGAAGGCAATTTGGAGGGAATTGATGCAATTTTGGAGGGGGTTTTGTGGGGAATTGGGGAATTTGTCAAAGGGTTTTGGGGAATTTCTGTGGGGAGCCTTGAGAGAATCTCAGAAAATTCCCATGTTGAGGGATTTTGAGGAAATCTCTGGAATTTGGGGCGATTTGGGGAAATTGTGGAGAAGTTGGAGGGAATTGGAGAGTTTTTGGAAGGCTTTTGGGGGAAATTCTGTGGGATCTTGAGGGGTTTGGGGTTGACTTGCGTGGACTTGAGGTCAATTTTTGTGGATTTTCAGAAGGTTTTGAGGGATTCTTGATGGAATTTGCGGGGGTTTGGGTGGATTTCAGGGGAATTTTGGTGGTTCCCTCACCCCACTCGGAGGCAACTTTCCCACAGCTTTGGCTGGAGGGGGATTTTCAGTGGATCTTTGACAGATTTGGAAGGATTTTTGCTCCATTTCAATGGATTTCAGCTCAGTTCTTGATATGGTTTGAAGCTGGCTCCCTGCCAAGTCTCCAAACCTTACCACCAGAAGTCCCCCCCCAAACCTCAGGGAGAAGAGGGAGTTAAAAACTAAGAAAACCCGAAACAAGAGAGAAACAACCAAAGTGAGATATATAAATATATTTACACTTATATACAATTAAAATATTCAATTTCACAAGGGAAAAGGGAAGGGCGAAGGGAAAGGGAACAAAACTAAAATAAAATATATACATATCCCAATTAGTGACCCAATATCTAACAACTAAAAGTTAGCAAAGAAAATAGCTCACTACTCTCCTGGGACAACCGAGAGTCGCTCCGGAACGATCACTGGCAACCTCCGTCTCCCAAGGTCGGCAAGGCCTAACCAGGCCTCGCTCCCCAACACGGCAGATCAACAGCAGGGAACCTGCACCTCCAAGCCGCCGGAAGGAAAGAGAGTGAAGGCCTCTCCTCGTAGGGAATACTGGGTAAATCTGGACCCTTCCTTGGTTACAAACTGGTCACCAAGGAAGGCCTAGCCCAAACCACCACATTCTCCACCCCTTATTCCATACTATTTTTACACAACACCTAAGTATCACGTTTGCCTATATCCCGCGCATATATATACACATATACATATATATATATAGTTCTTGTTGGTCTCTTGGCGCAGTTGTCTCGTCGTTGGAAAATCAATACCAATGTCAGTTCAGTTCAGTCCAGATCTTTGGTCTCCTCAGTCACAATTACAGTTCTGATTTATGGCTGTTTCATCACTGGACTGTCTCATCACTGGATACCAGCATCAGCTTAGTTCAGGTCTCTCTCTCTCTCATCTGGTGACTGGCTTCCTGTAAAAACACAACTCAGGACATACAATTAGTTTTTCCCCAAGGTTAAATTTCCTTGAGGCACACACTGGATGACTCCATCCTTCCTCATTATCCACCATGTATGTCCTGGCCCTTGAGCAAAGACAATCCCACGAATGGGTTTGTCTTGGCCTGAGGCAGGGGTAACCCAAACAGCTTTCCCTAGCATTCCCCTCAAATGGATTGCTGGAACTTTATCTCCATCAACAATATGAAGGGATTCTGCCTGTGCAGGGCCAGCTCGATTGACAGAACCCCTGGTGTTAACTAACCAGGTAGCCTTGGCTAAGTTCTTGTCCCAGTTTTTATAAGTTCCTTCACCTAGTGACTTTAGAGTCGTCTTCAACAGTCCGTTATATCTCTCAACCTTCCCAGCAGCTGGTGCGTGATAGGGAATGTGGTACACCCATTCGATACCATGTTCCCTCGCCCAAGTGGTGAGTAATTCATTTTTGAAATGAGTCCCGTTTTCTGACTCAATACGTTCTGGGGTCCCGTGTCTCCACAGGACTTGCTTTTCAAGGCCCAGAATGGTATTCCGTGCCGTTGCGTGGGGCACTGAAAAAGTCTCTAACCATCCCATTGTTGCTTCCACCATGATAAGTACGTAGCACTTACCTTGGCAGGTCTGTGGCAGTTTGTTATAATCAACCTGCCATGCCTCTCCATACTTATACTTATCCCATCGTCCACCATACCACAGGGGCTTCAGTCTTTTCGCCTGCTTAATCAGTCTAACCACCCCCATAGGGCATTGGCTCTCATCCACGAATCGGTGTACAGGTAGAGTCTTGGCCATCCTTCTCTCTCTGCGATATCCAGGGCCAATTGGACTGCTTTGAGTTCCGCAAACTGACTCGATTCGCCTTTACCTTCAGTGGCTTCCGCCACTCGTCGGGTGGGACTCCAAACGGCTGCTTTCCACTTCCAGCTCCTCCCTGCAATACGGCAGGAGCCATCGGTGAAAAGGGCATGGAGTGTCTCTTCGTCTGGCAGCTGATCAAATGGCAGAGCTTCTTCAGCTCGGCTCACTGGTTCTTCTTCTTCTTCTGCCAGACTGAAGTTCCCACCTTCAGGCCAGTTGGTTATGATTTCCAAGATGCCAGGGCGATTCGAGTTCCCGATTCGGACACGTTGCGTAATCAAAGCGATCCACTTGCTCCACGTGGCATCGGTGGCATGATGCGTAGGGGGCACCTTCCCTTTGAACATCCAGCTCCAGACTGGTAATCGGGGTGCCAGGAAGAGCTGTGCTTCGGTACCAATTACCTCTGAAGCTGCTCGTATGCCTTCATACGCCGCTAAGATTTCCTTCTCCACAGGGGTGGAATTGGCCTCAGAACCTCTGTATCTTCAGCTCCAGAAACCCAGTGGTCGCCCTCGCGTCTCACCAGGCACCTTTGGCCAGAGGCTCCAGGAGGGACCTTTATCTCCAGCTGCAGAGTAGAGCACATTCTTTACATCTGGTCCCGTTCTGACTGGTCCAAGAGCAATTTCTTGCTTGATCTGCCTGAAAGCTTGTTGTTGCTCAGGACCCCATT